GCCTGCTGGACTGTGAGAGAATAAACTTCTCTTTGTTAAAGCCATCCACTTATGGTGTTTCTGTTATAGCAGCACTGGATGACTAAGACACCCACAAATGCAGGGCTAACTTGAACTTGAAACAAAGTATGTAGAATCTGGCTTAACTCCTGTTACTCACTTTGTGTTTTTATAATTCAATTTCCTTTCTTTCTTTCTTTTTTATGGAGGCTCTTGCTTAGCCACTGAGGCAGAACAATTCTAGAATCTTTTTTATGTGTACTATAACCTAATATATGCTGAGTGACATTTCCTCTGTAGTCAAGACTGGTCTTTTCAAAAGCATCACGAGCTTGCTCTTGCTAGAATGGCACCCTGATCTACCCACAGTTACCTTCTTCTTGTTGCCCTTGTTAAGGCCGGTGAGCATTTATTGAGGCCCTACTGTATGCACTGAGATTGATTCTCTTAACAAATGTTATTGTAGGAATCACCTTCGTTTACAAAGGATTTTACTAAGCCACAGAGAGGGTAAGGCTGTATGCTGAGCAGAGTAAGGGAGACAAGGAATTTTGGATTCTGTTCCTGCCCTTAAGGAACTTACCCCTTCATAGAGTTTGTCGAGACAAATGCACGGGAAAAGCTCAACATACCCCAAGTTTTGAGGAGGTTTCAGTGTAAGATAATAGATGATAAATGAAAGTAGAAGTGGGCAGCTGCAGACATTTGCCTTACCTTGGAAAGCTTGCTGTGGACAGGGAAGGATTTCTAGGCTGAGAAAAGGATTGAGTTCCTTTTGGTAAAGGGCGTAGGAGAAGTAAAGATGTGGCAATAAGGACAAGCAAGGTGCATGAGAAGAACAGTAAGCAGGCAAGTAAGTCTTCCTCAGGGGCATTGGTGGTTCAGTGGTAGGATTCCTGCCTTTCATGTGGGAGACCTGGATTTGATTCCTGGCCAGTGCACCTCATGCATAGCCACCACCTGTCTGTCAGTGGGGGCTTGTGTGTTGCTTCGATGCTGAACAGGTTTCAGTGGAGCTTCTGGACTAAGACAGACTAGGAAGGAAGACCTGGCAGTCTACTTCTGAAAATCCGCCAGTGAAAACCCTATGGATCACAACCATCCAATCCCACTGGGCATGGGGTCATCACGAGCTGGGGGCTGACTCAAGGACAGCTAACAATGACAAGCCTTCTTCGAGTAGAGGATGTAGGTGGTTGTACAACAGACAGGAATTTGGATGTGCTTGCTGTAAGGTCCGAAAGAGCGAAGTAGAGAGATTCAAGCGGAGTCTTCAGTGTGAGGGCAGCTGGGCTCTGGGCTCTAGACTCTAGGGCTGGGATGATAGGTCTCTGATCGACCGCTAAGCATGAGTCACTAGATGGGT